AACTTTCTTATAGATAATACTACATTTACAACTCAATCTTACAAACTTTCCCTCACAAGCCCAATGTGACAGTTCATTATTGGTTTCTAATGAATTTTCTCGCATAACTAATTGCGAGTTAACCAATTGCAACCTATCACGTCAGGGTTGTAAGAGAGAGTTTGTGAGATTGAATTATAAGCCAATCTTTATTATATTTTATTTTTTAAACAACTAAGGTTTAGAGTTATTCCTTTTTGGGAAAAGCGATTTCTTTGTTAAGTGTAGGTGGTGCTTCCCGTTGGCACCTGGTTTCTGGATTGCATCCTCTTTGGTATGGATTAGTAGGTATTTCTTTACATGCTTCGAGAAATAATGGGCCACAAGGAATAGGATCCCCTTGATCAATGGCTCCATACCCGATATTGGTTCCCTCTGTATCTCGCACCAAGAATGACCAAGTTAGAAGAATGCAAAGCATAATGATCACCACCCTCTTCGAGTTCGACATCTGCAGGTATTTATATTTCGATGAATGCAAAGCATAATGATCACCACTTCTTATTTGAAATATTATCCGATACCTCCCTCTCATTGGCCTTAATTGATAGATTTTTTATCTTTGGACTTCTTATTTACCCCCTATGAGATCAATTGATAACTGTATACGCTAAACATTAGAACTTTATCTTCGTTTCTTTACCCTTAATTTTTTGTTGTCAGGCATGTTGTTCTGATACGTGCATGAAATTTATTTTGACTTAACAGCAACACTCATTCAATGTAAGAATTTAAGCATTGTAGGTGGGTTCCCAGAGCCCAAAGGTATTGTCCGCTTTGGGCCAACTGTTGATGTATGTAGGATCTAGACACATGGTAGGTGGGTTCTTAGAGGTATTATCTGCTCTGTTTTGGGCCTGAAGCCCCCACGATTTTGTATTGAAACTGGGCCTTTGAGCGCCAACTGTTGATGTATGTCAGATCCAAACACATAGTAGGTGGGTTTCTAGAGGTATTGTCTGCTTTGGGCATCAAGGCCTGCACAATTTTGTCCTAAAAAGGCGTCTATGGGTGGTGAGGGTGTTCTTGTACTATACAAGTGACCAAGGCCTTTGTCTCCTAACCGATGTGGGACTTTGGCACCAACATAGCCTAGTTTTGTCCTGAAAAGGCATCTCTAGGTGATGATGGTGTCTTTGTACTATATAAGTGACCAAGGCCCTCGTTTCCTAACCGATGTGGGACTTTGGCACCAATATAGCCCCCCAGGGGGCGAGGGGCTTGGGAGTGGCCTAGGCCCTCCTTCAAGGGCCAACTATTGATGTATGTCAGATCCAAACACATAGTAGGTGGGTTCCTAGAGGTATTGTCTGCTTTGGGCATCAAGGCCTGCACAATTTTGTCCTAAAAAGGCGTTTATGGGTGGTGAGGGTGTTCTTGTACTATACAAGTGACCAAGGCCTTTGTCTCCTAATCGATGTGGGACTTTGACATCAACAGTCATAGCATGACATTTAAAATTTCAGTGTCCACAAATCCAATGGAATCCATCATAGAGGCCTTCCATGTCAATTGTATTATAAATGCTAAAAGGTGACTTCAAGAGCTTGGTGATTCATCCAAAGCCTTTCGTTTCTTCAGATGATGAAATGGATGCAAATTGATCATGTATAAAGAAATAAAATTGTGGTATTTAATTTAGGAAGTTCTTTCAAGTGCTTCCATTCATAAATAAATTAATTCTCCTTGTGATAACACAACTGAAACAAAGTGTATTGACTTTTTGGGGTTGGTTTTTATGCATAAATAAATTTCTCAACTTACTATGATTATCTTTAAAAAACTAAGTAGAGGCTTTTATTTTGCAAACTTAAGGCCAATCAGTCAACCGAAGTCCCATAGACTCATCTGCAAATTATAAGTCTATACATAAGATGCATTTCAAAGAAAGAAAGACCCTGACTGGCTACAGCGGCTGAAATTGCATAAAATTTGCCATTTACTTTATGTAGAACATCTTATGGGCCTCGATGGACATGAATCCTGAAAACAGTTTAAAGGACAAAGCCTGAAAATTGTAAAGTGCTGGTCCGCAAAGCCTTTATGAGAAAACAAACTTCGTCTGTTATGGGCTTTAGAGGACAACTATTATATATAACAAAATGAACATTATAGCTGTGAGCATTGTTTTTGAATTAGTTAAAAGATTCTCCTAGCGTAAAAAGCTTTTATAAAATTTTCTTTTTAATTCTATGAAGAGTTTCTTTATTATTAGGAAAACAATTATTGGCATGGAAAAAAAAAAAAAAAACTCAAAATATAAGAAGTTATACAAAGCATAAACGCATCCGCAACCCAAGTAGATTATAACTTTCAAGTTCAAGTGCATATCTGTATAATTCAGCTGTCTCCAGCACTGTGTTTGAGAGACATGTAGAAAACAGATTAATGGTTGAGATATACAACTTAAAAAGATAACGGTATTTTTCTTTACAAGACTCAAACACTGTTTAATACTATGTATAGTTAACGTTCTATAGCAGTTGATAATATATGAGAATGTTACTGAAATATTCGTATAAAACAGCCTACAATACCTCAAGTCCTTTTCCACTCTATTTTAGAGACATGTACAAAACAAATCAATGGTTGGTATATAAAACTTAATAATGGGTTATACTGTGGTATTTTTCGTTGCAACACTCCAATAGGATTTAAGACTATGTAACCAATTTTTGGTAACATACGGTATAAAGAGTTAACATTCGAGACCGATTGATAATATAAGAAAATGTTAATACAGTAATGTTACACTTTACTAAAATATGATCATTGTAGGCTATTGATTGATAATTTTGGGCCACCATAGCAACTGTCCCAATTAATTAGTAATTTTGGTTCAAAGAGTTAAAAGAAAGTTTTATTTGAACATGAAATCTCGTCCATCCCTACTATTACTTGTCAATAATTTAGGTCTCAATAATTGGACATGACATCATTTCATCTAGACTATTAAGTTCCTCTTGCTACCCTATGAAGACTACTCGGCCACCATGGCAACTGTCCTCATTAATTTACTTTAAGAATTTATCAGAAATTTATAGTTGGCAGCTTGACTCTTCCAAAGTCTATTCGATCTGATAGGACGTGACTTTATTTCTGATAAAATTTGAAGAGAATACTGGGGACCCAGTCAACATGGGAAAATTAATTCTGATAGAACGCTCGAAACTACGCCATAGCAAGAGAAGCACATTATATGGTAGAGAACTTTTGATAGTGCAGAAATTGATATATGGTTAGATGTCTTGTTCAAATGGGGCTTTCTTCTCGACAAATTCTTAAAGTAAATTAATGAGGACAGTTGCCGTGGTGGCCGAGTAGTCTTGATAGGGTAGCAAGAGGAACTTATAGTCTAGATGAAAAGATGTCATGTCCAATTATTGAGACCTAAATTATTGAATAGGAAATTAAAATTAATATTTCAATATAGGGATAAATTTGTCATTACAAAATTTATCAAGCAGTGGGATTCTTTTAAACCATCCGTGGGGTGGCAATAAATCTACTCTTTTTTTTTTCCTTAAGGAAAACTAGATTACAACTTTTAAGTCCAATTGTATATACAATTTAATAATGGGTTTAATCTCTTCCCTTGTGGCTGGAAGGCAAACCTTTTTATCACTGGGGTTAGCTATACCCAAGAGTTTTGTGTTTGAGTTGCAAAAGACCCAATTACCGGGTTCACCCAAAATAATAGGCTTAATATGGTATCTTGCGATACAATATTCTGACAATATTTTATATTATGTAGTAATGTTTGGTAACATACAGTGTAAAGATACAATAACATTGCCTCGACTTTGCCCATGAACAGCTACAATTGCCCACGCACGACGAAACATGACTAACAAAGGCTGCCACATTTAATGCGACATGACTACTTGGAAATTACATCTTTGCCCTAAATTTTCATGTTCTGAGTTTGGCAGGTATCGTGAGAAGTGAACAAGTGTGAAGTACGTCGACCGGACATGAGGTTGACCTTGGGAGCTTGACCGAACTTTGCATTCGGAGATCTGTTGGTGATGCCGAGCTTGGCATCAAATCGATTAATAGCAATTTACAATGTTGTATAAGCTCCCTGAATTTTCACCAAATCTTATTACAAACTGAACCATGTCCTACACATCGAATAGACTTGGAAGAGTGAAGCATAGAAAGCTTTAATCAATCTTTTGTTTTCTAAATGTTTTTGTTGAACTTTGAACAGATTAAGTTTCTTTATTACCAAAAAAATCAGTTATTGACAAAGAGAGTACTTGAAGTAAGTCTTCGCACTTTTAAGTGAATTAACCCTATCAAAAGCAAGTTTGATTTCATCTAGCTTAATTATATTTCCTCTTGCTATATATCCTATATCAAGCGTTTCCATGGACCACCTACTGGCCTGATTAGTTTGGTTTAAGAAACTGTCAAGAAATTGCATTTGAAACATGAAATCTCACCCACCCCAGCCATATAAGAGTTTCTCTATGCCCAAAAATTCAGCTTTCATAATGTGGCCTTTTGATTTGTTTGTCTCTTTGGAATTTTTGTCTCTTCGGAAAAACTACGGAGAAATTACTCAACTTTTACGGAATTAGTAAGGAAGGCCCTATATCCAAAAAAAAAAAAAAAATAAAATAAAATATTATATCTTGGGAAGTAGTTTCAACCTTTCTGGGTCAGATCGCGTTTCATAAGGCATCGTTACTGACCTTTTGTTTACGTTAACCTAAATCAATTTGACTAGGAACAGCGGCAACTTCCATGCATTATAAATAAAGACTCTGTGCACTCTGTTTCTCCCAATCCTGTCAAAACCAAGTCTACTTCCCGGCATGCTGACTTGGAAATTTGAAGTTTAAGCCACCAGTTGGAGACGTGTACTTTGTGATCTGGATATCATTTCAAGTCAATGAACATGAAAGACCATTTGCATGACCCACATATGGGTAATTAGTTAAGTATACTATTACATGACCGTATTGGAAGATATGCAAATTCATAGTATCATTTGGGAAGAGAGAACCATGAGAAGGGAAGGATCATTATTGACGTTTTCAAATTTTCTTGTTTCTGTGTTGATCTTCCTGTTCATCACAGAAATACAAGCAAGAAAACTTCAACAAGAATGTTCTTCTTCATGTGGAGACATCAGTAACATAAGATACCTTTTTCGCCTTAAGGGCAATCCAGCAGTATGTGGTCATTCTAACTTCGAACTTTCATGCCAAAGCAACAAAACCATCCTAGAGTTTCATTCAGGAAAGTACCATGTGAAGGGAATTTCACATAAAGAAAAGACTATCAGTGTTGTAGATGTTAACTTAGCCAGTGGAACCTGCCGCCTTCCCTACGGATCTTTGTCAGCAGACGACATACTTAAGGAATTTTCCATTAAGTTTAGTTTTGGACTAGAACTAGACGGTAACTACAGTTATGCCACATTTTTCCGGTGCTCTCAGAAGATTAATGATCCGCGTTTCACAAGAATTCCTTGCTTGAGTGAAAATCAGTCTCATTCTTATGTTACAATTTATTACCTAGAGTATCAGTATCAGTTTTGCTCGTTAAATGCAGTGACTCCTATATACTATAGGCCATATGAGCTGTTTGGTAATATCACATATCATTATGAAACCATCCGCAAATCTCTGCAGTCAGGTTTCAATCTTACATGGTCCTTTGAGTGCAGGGATTGTCTTGCCCCTGATGGTATGTGTTCTGTTAGGGCAGGGACAACAGGATATATGCGTGATTGCAAAAACTCTGAAACTGCACTTAGTAAGTTCATCTTTCTACATATGTATTGATAAATTGTGTGATGACTTTGTTGATTTCTTTTTACTTTTCCATGCGTCTTCGGTCTGTTATGTCTTTGTAACTCTTGAACTCTGTCTTTTTTTTTTTTTTTTTTTTTTTTTTTGGTGCTAATGCAGTTCCGTTCATTGACTACTTGCGGCGTAATATATATTATCCATTCCCTGGATCCATCCTGTCGTTGCGTATGATTTCCTAGCCGCAACCCCTGTTCTTAATATTGGCTTGTGTTACTGAATAATAGCTTCATGAGCCTTAATTTTTAATTTCTTTGTGGATTTATGCAGGTCGTAGTTTCGCTGAATATATAGCCCATTTCATGGAATGGTATATGAATATGGGATTTGTTTTTGGACAGCTTCTGCTCGGTATAATTCCCAGGCTGCAATCAATTCCTGTTTGTATTGCACCGACTATGATTAAATACCTCAATTAACTCTTTTTATTTGGGCTGTTGGGTTTGCAGTGGTGGTTCTAGTGGTTCTTATTTGCAGATTTATTGGTGCTCCAATAGTTTTAGCTGTGTACCTCATCTTCAAATATAGAACAAGAACGAAGAAGGTTGACACTGTGGAGAAATTTCTGCACAATCAGCAATCCTGGATGCCTAAAAGGTACGCTTACCCAGAGCTAATGGCAGTGACAAACAATTTTGAAGAAAAATTGGGCCAAGGTGGCTTTGGATCAGTTTACAAAGGATGACTTCATAGTGGTTGGTTAATTGCTGTCAAACTGCTAGAAAATTCAAAGTTTAGTGCAGAAGAATTCATCAATGAAGTCTCTACAATCGGTAGAATTCACCATGTCAACATAGTAAAATTAGTTGGATTTTGTTCAGAAGGATCTAAACGTGCTCTTGTGTACGAGTATATGCCAAATGGATCTCTTGATAAGCATATATTTTCCAAGGAAAGCAAATCTCTATTATTTAGTTGGGACAAACTATATGAAATTGCTCTTGCAACTGCCTGTGGGATCGAGTATCTACATGGAGGATGTGATGTATGCATTCTTCATTTTGACATTAAGCCACACAATATCTTACTGGACCAAAATTTCATCCCAAAGGTCTCTGATTTCGGACTTGCAAAATTTTATCCAAAGGAAAATAATTTTGTGTCCGTTAGTGCTACAAGAGGAACAATAGGATACATAGCTCCTGAATTGATTTCGAGGAATTTTGGAACAGTTTCTTGCAAGTCAGATGTATATAGCTTTGGAATGTTGTTGTTGGAAATGGTTGGAGGGAGAAGAAATTCTGATATGAAGGCAGCTCGTTCAAGCAAAGCATACTTCCCATCTTGGGTATATGACCAAATAAATATTGGTGGGGATTTGGAGATCCAAGATGTCACTGAAAATGAAATCGTGATTGCAAGAAAATTGTGTTTAATTGGGTTATGGTGCATACAAGTGAAGCCTTCAGATCGTCCCTCAATTACAAAGGTTATTGAAATGTTAGAAGGGAGCATCAATGACTTGCAAATGCCTCCTAAGCCTTTCTTTTCTTCTTCTGAGCATGTCTCTATAAGAGAGATTCAATCAGACTCTTCAACTGAGTTTCTATTATCTGAATCAATGGAAGGATGCTCATACAACAATACTGATGCATTAATTAGTTGTTGCAATAAAAGCTACAATATTTGTTTGTAATATGGTCATGTTCGTAATTACTTTTCTTGTATTAGTTTCTATGTGTCAAATGTAGTTGTACTATGAAATGATCAAAATGTTTCGGTTGACTTTCCATTGTTTTTTATAACGAATAATTTATTCGAAATTATATTATACACCTGTTGATTAATGTCTGGTCAAGTTATCTAGAATACTAGCGATATTTCATTGATTACTCCCAAACTTATTTAAAATTATACGAACAAACTAAATGCTTATAAAAAATATATTTTTAACTAAACAAAATTGAAGTCGTGATTGATTATTAATTATTAAATAAGTTTGCTCAGATTTTTATGTACTATTTTAATTTAAGTTCAGTGGGATCTGATAGGGAGACCTTTCAGGCCAATAGGATTGCAAATGCTTGAAGATTATTTACAGGGATTGGAGGTACTCCGATGCCGTACTAAATGCCAATGAACGTAAAGGATTTGATAGTTTTACCATTGGCATGGAAAGTCTTTAATTTTATTTGTAAATAATACCTGGAGAACTTTAGGATGCCTACAGAGTTTTTTCTCTAAATGTTGAAATGGATTCAAATTCATGTAACAAAGACATAATTGAAGGGAACTTGCTTTTGGGTTTTTTAGGAAACATAAATTTTCTCAGGAAGTCGTGATTTTTATATCTGTCCTTGATGTATACCTATTTCCAGGTTTACCGTAATGCTATTTCCAAAAATATTGCTTAGTATAGCCTTTCTTTCTTTCTATGTATATATATAAACTTGATTACTTGAAGCATGTTTTTGCTTGAAAAATGACCTCTATGAGAAGGAAATCTATATTCTATTTTTTATACCTTTATTTTTCATTTTTTCTTGTACTTAAACGTTAAGTGTTGTTATCTAAATTCCTTTTAACATTTTAGGACAGGAAAATGATTTTTAGCTCCATCAAAATTTATCAGTATCCCCTAATCCAATTTTTTTTTTTTTTGGGGACAATTTTAACCTTAATGAAAATTATTATTATATTATTATTATTACATATTTAATTTACTACATAAACCCTACCTTTTAAGTTTGTAAATCATTGAAACCTTTTTTTTGTTTTTTTTTTTTTGAAATAAATTTTATTTGATGGAAACATATTACTGAAATCATGGAGAAAGTAATCACATAATGAGATGAATTTGAAACTGAAAAGAAAAAGTAAGTTTCATATGTGAAATTAGGGAAAAGAATGGTATAAATAAAAAAACCTAATTATGTTCAAAATTGGGAAAAAATTGTATAAACAAAAACCATAATTAAGTTTTAAATTAAATGGGAGTAAACAAAAAAAAAATTAATTAAGTTTGAAATTAGAGAGAAATTGTGCAAATAAAAGACCTAATTAAGTAGGGTTATTTTCATTATTAAATGAGGTTTAAAGAATTTTTTTTTTTTTTTTTTTGGTTTAAATATACATATAATAAAGATGTATAGAAATGGAGGTATTGATATGGGCTTAGAGTCACCTCTCTAAAATCTATTGTATATAAAAAAATACAAAAAGGGTTTCTTCATATAAAAATCCATATATACGTAGTGTTTGGGTAATGTGTAGATAGTAATGATCCTCTGATCACACAATCCTGAGCCCATTTCAAGTCTAGAAAATTAGAATGCCAATCCCCAAAAGAAGCCCAACCCACTGGTATCAGTGACAACACGAAGAAGCAAAAAATACATTTTCTCTCAAAAAGATAAGAACAAGAGTAAAAATGAAAAAAAAAAAAAAAAATACAGAAAAATTCCTCAGAAAAATTACAGCGGGTTAGTAAAAGTGATATTTCTCCATGCCAATACCTGCTAAACTAATTTGAGACAATAAGTATTGTTTTGGTAGTTGTTTCCAGTGGCATTTGCTTTGTTAAATATATATAGCTACAGGTTTAAGTCTTTCCGAATTGCTTTCCTTTTTAACGCAATTGAAGCAGAGTATGTTTAAATCGTTAATTTGTTAACACAATTTGCTTAGTCATGCTGCCGACTAAGCGCCATTAAAGAATGTGGAAGATGTAACTTGCCATCCATTACTTAGTGATGCTCAGAGAGAGGCCTTCCATGCCAATTGCAAAATGCAAAGAAAAGGAACAGCAATTGAAGCAATTAATTAACTAAATGTTGGTAATTCACTTGCTGTTGCTTGTTTACAATGCAGCTCACACTTGCAAATACTGATTCACCATGTATTCCTAATAGAGCTCATATGTTCTTGAGATTGGTTTAAGTAGTTGTAAAGAAAGTTGGTTTAGAAAATGAAATCTAGTCCATCCCTACTATCACTCCACGATAATTTCTTTTTGGAAANGAATTTTTTTTTTTAAATATGCATATAATAGAGATGTATTTAGAAATGGAGGTATTGATATGGGCTTAAACTTACTTCTCTAAAATCTATTGTAATAAAAAAATACAAAAAAGGTTTATTCATATCAAAATCCATATAGACGTAGTGTTTGGGTAATGTTGTAGATAGTAATGATCCTCTAATCACACAATCCTGAGCCCATTTCAAGTCTAGAAAATTAGAATGCCAATCCCCATAAGAAGCCTAATCCACTGGTATCAGTGACAACACTAAGAAGCAAAAAATACATTTTCTCTTGAAAATATAAAAACAAGAGTAAAAATGGAAAAAAAAAAAAAAAAAATTACAGAAAAAATTCCTCAGGTGACTCAAAACTTACAGCGGGTTAGTAAAAGTGGTATCTCTCCATGCCAATACCTGCTAAACTAATTTGACACAATAAGTATTGTTTTGGTAGTTGTTTAAGTCTTTCCGATTTGCTTTCCTTTTTAACACAATTGAAGCAGAGTATGTTTAAATCGTTAATTTGTTAACACAATTTGCTTAGTCATGCTGCCGACTAAGCGCCATTAAAGAATGTGGAAGATGTAACTTGCCATCCATTGCTTAGTGATGCTCAGAGAGAGGCCTTCAATGCCAATTGCAATACAAATGCCTCCAGTGCCCTTGATTTCTTCGGAGGATGAAATGGATGCAAATTCATCATGTATAAAGATAAAATTGAAATAATTGAGGAACTTCTCCTTTCCAATCAATAAATAATTCATTATTCTTCTTCTCGGAATAAAACAATTTACTCTGAGAAATTTAAAACTAATTTGATCTGGATCAGTCGACCTCCAAAAGATCCTGTGTAAACAAGATAGAGGCTTTAGTATTCTAGCTTTTTAAACATTCTTAAGGACAATTCAGTTAATTGGAGTGCCACAATTCCATCCACTTGTAAAATGCAAAGAAAAGGAACAGCAATTGAAGCAATTAATTAACTAAATGTTGGTAATTCACTTGCTGTTGCTTGTTTACAATGCAGCTCACACTTGCAAATACTGATTCACCTATTAGCCAAGACAGTTGCTTGAGATTGGTTTAAGGAGTCGTCAAGACAGTTGCTTTAGAAAATGAAATCTAGTCCATCCCTACTATCACTCCACGATAATTTCTTTTTGGAAACAGTGATGAAAGCTTAAGCTTGAATATGATATCTGATTATCTTGACTTAGATTTTTGCTAGCCTATCAAGGGGTTTAGATCTTTACGTGTTCCCTAAGTTTGTTAATTTCCATCTATCTCAGACTTTGAGATCCTAGCGTTAAGTTCCATATAAGTTCCACCTCTTGCTACCTTATAAAGACTTACTATATCTTGACTAAGTTTCCACCGCTTGCATTATTTTGATTATAAGTTTCTCTTGTTACCCTACCAAAAGTTTCTATCTTAATTCTTCCTCCTCTTGCTGTTGCTACTTTATCAAAAGTCGTTTCTATCTTGACGCTAGGTTCCTCCTCCTACCCCACAAAATGTTTTGGTCTTTACGCGTTTCTATGAATTAATTGTCCCTCTAAAGATGAAAAATTAAAAAAACAGTGCTTTTTGACTTTGAATTGACTCTCAAGTCTAGCATAATAGCGAATGAAATATCTTGGTCACAAGTTTCTCTTGCTATTCTATGAAGATGAAATCTTATCCATCCAATTTATAATATATGAGAATGTTAAGAAAGTGTCGTCTCTGAACATGAAGTCTCATTCCTCCCTAATATAATTTGTCATTAATTCCTTTTAAATAAATGTGAAAGTTTAAAGTCTTTAGGTCTTTATGCATTTAGGTCTTAGTAATTAGACATGACATCTTTAATTTCATCTTTGACTATAAGCTTCTCTTGCTACCCTATTAAGAGTTCCTAATGGGCTAAGAAGGACCTCTGTCGTCAATAATTTGGTTCCAGAAATTACAAAGGAAGTTGCATTTGAACATGACATGATCTTAACCACCCATACTTTATATAGGTTCCTCTTGCTAGCCTATATATAAAAAGTTTCTATCTTGACTATAATGTGCTCCTCTTGCTCCCCTATATCAACAGCTCAGGTCTTTACGCGTTTCCCAAATTTGTTTCCATCACTACTAGAAAAATACACAAAGTGGACGATTAAAAAGACGATGTTCGCATTAAAAATGTCTTTAATAAGACTGTTAGACAGTTTTATAAAAAATATTTTTTTCATAGTAAAAAAATTATTTTGTTTAAACTATCATTCATGCTAATACTTCATACATAAGACTAATACATATAATATCTTTCACACTAAAATTAGATAAATCATCTACGTTATGTAAAAGATTAAAAGAAATTAAACGGTTTTCAAATGTTTTATAAGTTGTTAACATACTTCAATAGAACTTTTTTTTTTTTTTTTTGACAAAGGCGTTTTGATGTTATTAAGAACAGTTTAAGCATCCTTTATAACCTTTTTGGTAGTACTACATATATCTGTCTCGACTTTATGTTCCTCACATTTATCTTGACTATAAGTTTGTTTTGTTATTTTCCTGTCAAAAGTTCTTTATGCGTTTATGCATATGAGCCTCATAAATAGCAAGTATATTTCAATCTCTCTTGACTATAAGTTCCTCTTGCTACCAAGAGTTTATGTCTTGATGCGTTTTTGCAAATTAAATAATCAAAAAAAAAAAAAAAAAAAAATTAAATAATCGAGAGCTTCTTCTCACACCGCGATATCAAGTTTCTGGACAAAGCCTAGATTTGACTTCAGCGTGCACCACGGCGTGATTTCCTTCCGCCATGGCGCGAGCTCTCTTTTGACCACGAATTGTGTTTCTTTTCTTAATTAAAATAAAGCAAATCCATCAACATCAACAACCCACTATAATGTTTTTGCTTCTTTGAATAAATACTTGCTTCACTTTCCGTTTTTACTTCAAACATAAAAATAAATATATTAAAATATATTAAATATTATTTTAGCTTATCGAAATGGTCAGCACGGACGACAAAAACACATCAATAATAAGTATAGAGCTAGAAATCTTTGGAACAAAGAAAAAACACGAAAGGGACGAAAGACGCTATGAAAATGAATTGAACAGAAGAAGTTGATTAATTAGAGGGTGATTATGAAAGCGAACAAGTCCATCTAAGAGCCACTCACATTCCTTAATAGCTTTGCATTGACATAGCTAAAATGATTTATATAATGAAATTAGAAGATATCAGTGGTCCGGCGAAACGACGTGTAGTTAAAGGCTGTAATTTTCCGACTCATTTTCTTTCTCTAATAATTGCCAAAGTCTTCTTCTCTATGGGTAACCCAATTCACTCAAAAGCGTAGCGTTATCATGACTGAAACCAGATGATTAATCATGGTGGATACGTTCTGCTTTGCTTTATTGGCTTTTGATACTGCCAAGTGTCGCAATCCGGCAATGATGGAGGCCAATTGCTCATTCTAATTACCTATTTATATACGTATTAGTAGTGCATTTGTATATATGTAGATATGTGAAGGGCGGGGAGGAGAAAGTAAGGGAACTTTATTGGTGGAATTCCTAGTCATTTTGCGTCAGAATCAGGATTCACTGATTTATCACAAAATCTCACCCATTCGCATGGCAGTAAACTTTCTTCTCAGCGTACCATTATTGAGAAGCCTAGTCCCAAAATCCTGTCAAATTAAAATTACTCAAACTTTTAAGGGATTAGTAAGGAAGACCCATAATCCCAAAAAGATATTATATCTTGAGAAGTAGTTTCAACCTTTCCGGGCCATATCGCGTTTCATACGGCATCTTTACTGACCTTTTGTTTACGTTAACCTAACACAATTTGACTTGGAACAGCAGCAACTTCCATGCATTATAAAGACTCTGTGCATTGTGTTTCTTCCAATCCTGTCAAAACCAAGTCTAGCTCCCGGCATGTAGACTTGGAAATGTTAAGTTTAAGCCACTAGATATGATTTATGCTAAATAGCAGGAGGCCCTAATGAGAAATTAAACAAGTTGGAGACGTGACACTTTATGCTTTTTATTGAATGGATGCTAACTATGAATGTCTAACACTCAATTACTCCTCCCAAAACATTCTTTCCTTATGATCAGAAGACTTATAACTATTGGAAATGCTTTAATGAGTGCCATGTAAAAGCTTTTGAAAGTATTTTTGTAAACTAAATACATATTAAGTGCTTCTTCAATAATTTTTTGATAACCTTTTTTTTAAATATAAAATTACTTGTACATTGATCAAATTCCGTCGTATTATATAAAAGTTTAGGAATTGTGACATCTAAGATTCAACACTTTGAGATTGACCCAGGTTTGCTGGGTCGGGTTGACTCGATTCGGCTGCTTTGGACAGGTTTCACTGGTTTTAGGGCTCCATATTAGTCAAGTACTATATTGAGCCCTTTTAATAATAATTTATTGGGTCTACCATTACTACCTCAATAAATTCTGTAGCCTACACTTATATTGTCAATTTGCATAACACAGATCAATTAAATATAAAATGTATAAGGCTTTGAAAAAAAAAAAAAAAACAATCACAAAGCTTATTAGAATATCTCATTGGACTATGTGTTTACTCAGTTTGATTAAACCAAAATATAATTCATGTTAGTCCATACTTAGGAAATTTCCAACACAATCTGCAAGAAGCTGTAATTTATGGACCAAATAAGTTTATTTTAATTCATATTTGTTGGACAAGTGATGATTTTCTTTTATTTGTGAAATTATTTTCCAAAAGTTACGAAAAAAATTTCAAGTCAATGAACATGAAAGACCATTCGCATGATCCACATATGGGTAATTAGATAAGTATACTTTTACATGACCATATTGGAGGATATCCAAATTCATAGTATCCTTGGGGAAGAGAGAACCATGAGGGAAGGATCATTATTAACTTTTCCAAATTTTCTTGTTTCTGTGTTGATCTTCCTGTTCATCACTGAAATACAAGCAAGAAAACTTCAACAAGAATGTTCTTATTCATGTGGAGACATCAATAACATAAAATACCCTTTTCGCCTCAAGGGCGATCCAGCAAAATGTGGTCATCCTAACTTCGAACTTTCATGCCAAAGCAACAAAACCATCCTAGAATTTCATTCAGGAAAGTACCATGTGAAGGGAATTTCACATAAAGAAAAGACTATCAGTGTTGTTGATGTTAACTTAGCCAGTGGAACCTGCCGCCTTCCCTACGGATCTTTGTCAGCAGACGACATACTCAAGGAATTTTCCATTACGTTTAGTTTTGGACTAGAACTAGACGGTAACTACAGTTATGCCACATTTTTCCGCTGCTCTCAGAAGATTAATGATCCGCTTTTAACAAGAATTCCTTGCTTGAGTGAAAATCAATCTTATTCTTATGTTACAATTTATTATCCAGAGTATCAGTATCAAGTTTGCTCGTTAAATGCAGTGACTCCTATATACTATAGGCCATATGAGCTGTTTGGTAATAACACATATCATTATGAAACCATCCGCAAATCTCTGCGGTCAGGTTTCAATCTTACATGGTCCTTTGAGCGCAGGGATTGTCTTGCCCCCGATGGCATGTGTTCTGTTAGGAGAGGGACAACAGGATATTCACGTGATTGCAAAAAATCTGAAACTGCACTTAGTAAGTTCATCTTTCTACATATGTATTGATAAATTGTGTAATGACTTTGTTGATTTCTTTGTACTTTTCCATGCGTCTTCGGTCTGTTATGTCTTTGTAACTCTTGAACTCTGTTTTTTTTAATTTTTTTTTGTGCTAATGCAGATCTGGTCATTGAATTCTTGCGATTCTTGCGGAGATTCACATATGGTGTATTCGGTGAGTCCATCCCGTGGTTGCGTATGATTTCCTAGCTGCAACCCCTGTTCTTAATATTGGCTTGTGTTACTGAATAATAGCTTCATAAGGCTTAATTTAATATTTCTTTGTGGGTTTATACAGCTCGTGTTTTCGCTGAATATGTACCAGATTTCTTGGAATTCCTCCTTGTAACGCTTCTTCTCGGTATAATTCCCAGGCTGCAATTAATTCCTATTTGTATTGTAGCGACTATGATTAAATACCTCAATTAACTCTTTATTTGGGCTGTTGGGTTTGCAGTGGTGGTTCGAGTGTGTTATGCCTGGGAAATCAAGGGCTGACGTGGAGTCACGTGACGAAACGTGGCCTGCTCCTGTCAGAACGGTAAGCGCAAGTCAGGCCTGCCAAGCGCCCTGGAGCTCCCACGTGTCCGCTTCCCTGCTCCAAATCGCGTAAAATCAGCTTGGGAAATGGGCAATGGGACGTAAAGCCAGATTATGTCCTGACATTCACACCAACCCAAGGATTTAATGATGATTACACGCATTCAACTTGATATAAGTAGAGGAAGACCCCTTCATTAAGGGGATTCGATCATTTTACATTTGAACGCTCTCTCTCTAAAAAAGGCTTTGTATTTACTTTTCAATCATTTGTAAGTCAGTCCGCTTTAGCGACCTGACCCACCATATTAATACAAATCAGTGGATGTAGGACTTGCTACCTTAGCATCCGAACCACATTAAAAGCTCTCATTGCATTTATTTCATATTCATAATCTATATTCACATGTGTTCCTTGTCCAATCAACGCTGCGCACGTGTCAATTAGTTGGAGCCTAAATCGCGCATCAACAGTTTGGCGCTAGAAGGAGGGCCTGATTTAGCGTGTACCCTTCATCAGGAGAATCTTCGACCTACTGGTCCTACAGCAACAAATGGCCCGACAATCAGAACCTGAGCAAGCTAATCAGCGCGCTAAAGGAGTCCCCTTGACCCAAGGGGATACCCCCTCCAGGGTACTTCCGGTTCCACAAAATGCTACGGGGGATATCCCGGCAGCTACGCAACTCGACCCCGCCATCAGAAGCTACCTGGAGAGGTTCGACAATACTCTCCAGACGGTCAACCAGAGGTTGGACCGTTTGGACCAAGGCATGTCATCTACAACAGCTGGGGCGGTGCAACCGCCAAAGATGCCTGCAGGTCGCGCGAAAGTGCGGCACGCCCGTGCCGCGAGCACTGTAGCGCGTAGACGTAAGGGAAAGCAGGTGGCAAAAGGTAAGCCTATGGGCTCCCAAGGACCAGCGAGCACAAATCGCGCCCCGAGCAGGGTGCCGGCAAAGCTGAGACTCGACGAAAAAGTAAATCCGGAGCTGTCCCATGCCACGTCATAGGCGAACCCAAGCAAAAATGCCAAGCGCGATGATTCTTATCACCGCCAGCAGAACGATCCCGATCGTTATGCGGGTGGCCCCCACACCTCGCAGGGCGGTTCGTACCACCGCGAGGGTCGTGAGAACACCCCGCGCAATCCATCGCCTTCACACACCTTTAGCCAGCGTGTGTCGAGTGTGGCCAAAAATGCCGGCCGAGGCGAAGAGGAATCCGACCTCCAGACTTTCCTGAACCGTAATCGCGAAGGCCGGACTCGCATGGGTGAAAGCAACCCTCAAATGGGCCCATTACCGCAAATTGAGGAGCTACAGCGAGCTCTGGACAGGTTAAGGGAGTAGCAAAGCGAACAGGCCCAGGTCGCCTCTGCATCCCCATTCTCTCCCGAAGTGCTGGCTGCTCCACTCCCACCAGGGTTCAGAATGCCCGACATGCGACCATTTGACGGGAACCATGACTCGCATGATCATTTGTACGAGTTCAACGACCTGATGGAGCTCCACCAGGTTTCGGACCTTGCAAAATGCCGCTGTTTGGCTGTGACACTCACTTCTCACGCCAAGCAGTGGTTAAGGTCGCTCCCAGCGGGATTGATCAGTTCGTGGCCTCAGATGAGCATGACGTTCTTACGGCATTTCCAAGCCAATCGGAAGTTTTCGATGCCTTTGAGCTATCTCAGCAACATAAGGCAAGAAAGAGACGAATCCCTGCAATCTTACATCGACCGTTTCCACAGGGAACTAAACAAGGTGGCTCACGCTCCAGAAGAGTCCATCCGAACACTTATAATAGCTGGAGTTCGCTCGCAAACTGACCTGTGGAAAGAACTGCAGGCTGAGGACGATGTTTCCCTCACCAGATTTTACAATCTTGCAGAAAAGTATCTGCGAATAGAGAATTCATTGGCGGCACTCCGCCGCCCCGATCACGGCGCTTCGAGCAGTATGTCTGGTTGGGGAGAAAGTAGGAGAGTTGATCGCAAAGGAGACATTGATGATCAGCGAAAAGGGAAGAAACCCCGCTACGAGCATAAAAAGTCCTATGCTCCTATTCCTCGTCGCGACAGGGACAGAGCTCAATACACTCCGCTGAACGTGTCCATATCTGTAATCCTTGACAAATCCGAGGAGGCTAGCCTGCTCGGTGAGCCAGAACCAATGAAAACTCCTGCTACGGCTAAAAACAGCAAAAAATACTGCCGTTACCATCAGGATAACGGGCATCACACTGATGAATGCCGAGCCCTAAAACAGGCAATCGAAGAGCTCATTACAAAGGGGCACTTCAAGGAGTATATTGATGACTCCCCAAAGGAGAGCCAAAGGGAGCAAAAGAAAAAGCGTCGTGATCGCAGCAGATACAGTAGCGTTAATATAATTTTTGGAGGTCCACACCTCGCGGGGAACACGCGAGGAGCGCAAGAAAGGTATGCTCATGAAGCATATCATGACCCGATCAGAGTAATGAATACTTCGCAACGACCACAAAAGGCTCGAAAGGAGGAGCTGATCACCTTCTGCGAAAGGGAAGCAGCTCACTTGCACCATCCTCACGAGGATGCCCTGGCGATCACGCCCCTGATAGGGTGTCATAATGTCTGTAGAATGCTTGTGGACAACGGAAGTGCTGTGAACATCCTGTTCAAGACCGCTTTCGATAGAATGAACTTAGACGAGGCCGACCTAAAACCCGCCTCGATACCTCTCTACGGTTTTACAGGGGACCACCTGATCCCCAGAGGAACAATCCAGCTACCAGTCACGCTCGATGACTACGACGAGGTGACTAGGGTTATCGAATTTCTAGTCGTGGACTGTTCATCGGCCTTTAATGGAATCTTGGGGCGACCTCTGTTGAGAAGCTTCAAGGCAGTCACTTCCATTTATCACCTCAAGATGAAGTTCCCCACTCCAACAGGGATAGGAGAAGTAAGCGGATCGCAAAGCGCATCTCGCGAATGCTATGTAAAAGCGGTGCAGATGGCAGACAAAGGAAAGGGCATTTCGCAATGTGTGCCTCGCCAGGCCATGGCGATCAGTCGGATCGAGCCACAGCCTGGTCCAACGGAGGATAACATAGATTCGCGAGTCCAGAAAATCCCTCCTAGTGGCCTAGTTGAGGATCTGACCGAAATTTCGGTTGATCCAAAAGAGCCAAGCCGAGTATTAAAGATTGGGAGCTGTCTCAACCCTCAGCTCGCTTCCGAGCTGATAAACTTCTTAAAGGAAAACATTGACGTGTTTGCCTGGTCGCATGCAGATATGGTCGGGATTAGCCCGAACATTATTTGCCATTCATTAAACGTTAGCAGTGAAGCCAGACCGGTTCGCCAGAAAAGAAGAGCGATGGATCCAGAGCGATACGCCGCACTAAAATCAGAAGTAGAAAACCTCCTCCGAAATGGGTCCATCCGAGAGGCACTCTACCTGACCTGGGTTGCCAACCCGGTCCTGGTAAAGAAGCCGAACGGTAAGTGGCGGACCTGCGTTGATTTCAGCGATCTCAACAAGGCTTGCCCGAAAGACAGCTTCCCTCTGCTGAGGATCGACCAGCTCGTTGATGCCACCTCAGGGCACGAGCTGCTGAGCTTTATGGATGCGTACTCGGGATACAATCAAATCCCAATGTATGAGCCAGATGAGGAGCATACGTCCTTCATTACGGACCGGGGGCTATACTGTTACAAAGTTATGCCTTTCGGCCTCAAGAATGCGAGCACGACCTATCAGAGGTTGGTCAACCGAATGTTCTCCGACCAGATCGGGAAGACAATGGAAGTCTATGTGGAGATATGCTGGTCAAATCCCGGGTCACCTCAGAACACATTGCACATCTCGCTGAGATGTTTGACATTCTCCGACTCTACAGAATGAAGCTAAATCCTCTCAAGTGTTCGTTCAGGGTGTCATCAGGAAAGTTCTTGGGGTATATGGTTAATCAGCGGGGCATAGAAATAAACCCCGAGAAGGTTCAAGCCCTGCTCAATATGGAGAGCTCGACCAGCAAGAAGCAGGTCATGAGTCTAAATGGGCGGATAGCGGCACTTAGTCGCTTCATATCAAGGCTAACAGACCGCTGCTTACCATTCTTCAATGTTTTGAAGGCAAACAAGAAATTCGAATGGACTCCCGAATGCGAACAAGCATTCCAGAGTATAAAAGAGCACCTAGGGAAGCCACCTCTCCTCTCAAAGCCTCTTCTACAGGAAATCCTGCTCATCTACCTGTCCGTCTCTCAGTTCGCGGTCAGTACAGCTTTAGTGTGGGAAGAGGAAAAGGCGTAGTGGCCAGTCTATTATGCAAGCAAGCGTTTATCGGATGCCGAGATGCGGTATCCGAAAATGGAGCGACTAGCCTTTGCTCTGCTGATCGCGTCCAGAAAGCTACGACCTTACTTCCATGCCCATACAATCAACGTAATGACTAATTACCCCCTCAGGTAGGTCCTCCAGAAACCAGAAGCCTCGGGTAAGCTGCTTAAATGGGCCATGGAACTGAGCCAATTCGACTTGAAGTACAAGCCCAGATCGACCATTAAAGCGCAAGCTGTTGCAGACTTCATCTCAGAATTTTCCTATCTCCCAAGCGAGCAACAACCCAGCGAAGTCGTGCAAGAAAGTATTCAGAACCTGTCGACCTGGAACCTCTATGTCGATGGGTCATCGAACAGGAAAAGAGCCGGTGCGGGTCTTCTCCTTGTAAGCCCCAAAGGAGCTCGAATTCATGGTATTCTCCGGTTCGGGTTTAAGGTGACCAACAATGAGGCAGAGTATGAAACCCTGCTCGCCGGGTTGCGACTTGCCAAAGAAAT